CGGTCCTGCCTCAGGGTCTTTGCACTGGCTGTTCCCTCTACCTGGAACACTCTTTCCCTTCATCTCTCACCTGAGCTCCCACCTTACCGAGGGTAAAAGCCCTAGTCCTCCTCCTCACTGCCCTCAAAAGCAAGGAGATCCACAGAGGGCTGTGGACAAGAGAGGGGTGGAACCTGACTCAGGTGCTCACAGGTGCCCTCTAGTGGCTTCTGCTGGGAGGACAGATTGTGGGGGATGAGGGTGGGAGCTGGAGCTGGGGGCCAGGGCGCGGAAGACACTGCTCTGGCCCAGGCAAGTGATAACCATACAAATCATACCCCCTAATTCTACACTGTCCAACGTGGGGGCCACTGGCATTTAAAATGTTACTAAATTAAGATGTTCTGTAAGTAAAAAACACACACCTGTTTCTAAAGACTTGGAATAAAAAAAAGAAGGTAAAATAGCTCATTAACAATTTGCATATTGATTGCATGTTAAAATATTTTGAATGTGTGGAATCAAATAAAACACATTATTAGAATTAATTTTACCTACATACTCTCATCTTTTTCCTAGTTGCTAGCAGAAAGTTTTAAATTACACACCAGACAGCGCTAGGCCAGCTGATGTGGTTTGAGTTCTAAGATTCTGCCACCTTGGCACAGCCCATGGGGCAGTGTGTGTGTGGGGGGGGGGTTCCTGTGCGCCTGCAGGGGTCAGGCAACCTGAAATCTGCAGGAAAAGTAAGTAGTTCAGACAAAGTGCCGGTCGGTCCTTTGCGGCTGTTGTCTCCGATGAATCCTTGAGAACAGACCTCTTTTTGCGGTTCACCATCTGGCCCCCTCTAACAGAGAGGGACCTGCACCTGGGCTCGGGTCCTGCCCCGGCCCCCCCCGAGCTCACTTCATTCTGCTGGCAGCAGCGGTGGGAGAGGAGGAGTGACGCCTCCAAAGTCACCTCCCTGTTCCCGCCCGCACTCTGCTGGCGCCAGGTGATTCCCCCAAGAACTGCTCCCTGACAGATGAGGATGTCCTCTCCTCCCACTTTCCAAAGGAGAAAACTGAGGCTCAGAGAGGGAAAGTGAGTTGCCCAAAGTGGCCCCGCAGAGCTAGGCTCTGCACCCAGCTAGCTCCACAGGGTGCCAGTGCCTTCTGGGACCTCCCCCGGAGCCAGCCGCCCAGCCGCCTCCCACTGCTAATTAACTCTGGAGAGCTGCTGGGCCAACACAGCAGCAAGGACACTCCGGTGCCCAGACCAGGCCAGTGGAGCAGTCAGTGATCAATTCTGAGTCCTTCCCATTTATCACAGTGGCAGGAGCCAGTGTGCCTGGAATCTCAACCCTGAGCCTCTGGCCCCCTTGGCCACCTGGAGCTGTGCACAGTGGTGACAGGAACGGGGGCAGCAGGCCCTCATGGAGTCTGAGGAGGGAGGGTGTTCCCGGCACCCCACTCCCCTGGGTTATTAAGTGCTGTGTGATCCAGTGGTGACCGCATAAGACCCCTGTCCAGCCTTCCCTGTGCCCACAGGCTGGCAGAGGAAAATATATATTGAATGAATAATCATCTAAAGGGAAAGAACAGAATGGCATGAGAATGGAAAACTGTGGACTTGTTGAGGGCTTTGCAGGTTCATGGCCTCCCCAAGGAAGTGACCATGAACCTGCAAAGCAGAGAATGAAAGATGAGGGGTGAGAAGAGGGTGCCCCACACTTAGAAACAGCACCTGCAGATCTCCCGTACTCTTTATCATGGGATAAAGTGCCAAGTCAGGAGCCCTCAGGGAGGCCGAGAGCCCCCACGGGCCGGGGCAGCCTTCAGTGGCCAGGCGCCACGAGTGGAAGAGGCGGGCGCAGTTTCCCGATGACCCAGGGAATGGCGGTGACGCTGCTTCCTTCCCCGGTGAGTCAGAGGGCAGGCTGGGTGGTCAGCAATGTGATTCTTTTGTTTGGTTTTTTCTTACAACTATTTTCCCCTTGGAGGGTTTTTTCAAACCCACTTGGGCACGGGGGTGAGTCAGGATTTCTCTGCCAACAAACAGCGGAGTGTGGCTGCTGGCCCAGCCACCCTGAACACCCCCTCCTCTGGCAGGTGGGGAAACTGAGGCCCCAGAGCGACGAGGACCACCCAAGGTCCTTCAGAGGGGGGCTGTGAACCGGGCCCAGGGGGCGGGTGTCTGGGGTCCCGAAAGAGGCAGAAGCCCTGCAGCGGCTGTCTCTTTGGCCGGACCTCAAGCCCCATGAGGGCCCACGGCTGGGTGTCCTGGTCACCATGCTGTCCCCAAAGCCCTGTAAGTTTGTAGTGCTTAACCAGTGATTTCAAAATGGATGGCCGCAGCAGCTTTTGCAAACTCCCAGACATCACGCTCAGGGCGCCAGGGGGAGCAGGGGTCCTCTCTGACGGGGGATGTGAGAGACAGAGATACACAGACAGAGACACGGGGAGAGAAACAGACGGTGATGGAGACAGAGACCCAGGTGCAGAGCCCGGAGAGGCAGAGAGAGTGATAAGCGGGAAGCAGATCAGGGAAGAGACGGAGAGGCAGACAGTGGCTGAAGAGAAAGGCGGCAGGGTCTGGGCCGCCACTAACCAGCAGAGGAGACTTTGTGTGGATTACAGACAGAAAGACCCCCCCTTCCTGGCGTCCTCTCGCCGCCTCAGCCGGGTGCTTTGTATAGTGAACAACCTGACCCCTGTCTGGGGCAGCCGGAGCCAGCCAGCGAGGGCCAGGCCCACAGAAGTCTCTCCATAAGCGCCCGCTGAACAGACAGACAGAGAATGCCAGAACCTGGCCTGGAGTCATGGGGAGGGAGGGAGGGAGGGAAGGAGGGAGGGAGGGACAGGCAGAGACAGAGACAGAGCGGGGCTGAAGGGGGAAGGAAGTCTGGGTGCCTGCAGCTTCTGGCAGAGTCACAGGTTCCTCCTCTGGGCACTGCCTGGATTTACTTGCCACCGAGGAAAATTCTCCTTGACATTCTGGGTGCACAGACTGAGTGGGCAGCCAAGGCAGGAGGTGGCTCCTCCCCAGGACGCCCTGGGCCCCAGTGAGAGACTTGGCTGCCAAGTCTCACCCGAAACTCCTCACAGCCCAGACTTGCTGCTGGGGTGGAGCCGGGAGCCTGAGAGGCCCGGGGGTTGGGGGTGGGATTCCCCCAGTTTCATAGCCCGGAGAGGGGAGGCAGCTGTCTTGAGGTCCCCCAGAACAGGATTCAAAGGAAAAGGCACTCCTGGCAGAGAGAACAGCTTATGCAAAGCCCTGGAGGCTTGTTGAGACTGAGAGGCAAGGGTGAGGGGAAGGGCTTAGTTATGGAGTCTGAACTTCATTTTGTTTTCAAACACTTCACCTTTGATTCAATACACATTCAAAGATGGCCCCTCTGTACCTAGTCCCAACCCGGGCCCTAGAGGCAACTCCTCAGCCTGGGAGGACACACAGACCTCTCAGGTCCAAGGGTCAGGGGTGGGCAAGAAGGAAGGGTGGAGGCTGCAGGACCCAGATGACATCTGGGAGAGAGCAGCGGAGGCCACAGGGAGGTGGGGCATTGGCGGTGGGCCTTGAAAATGTAGGGGCGTGACAGGTGACAGAGACTGATAAGGGCATTCTGTGTAGAAGATGTGCACATGCAAAGGTCTGGAAGTTTCTGAGAACGAGACAAGTGTCGGGAGGGAGGAAGGGTGTGCAGTGACTCTGCCGGGCCCGAGTGGGCATGGCCAGGCCAGAAAGAGAGGGGGGGCCACAGAAGCCCAGAGGGAATTGGAGGCTGTTCTTAGAGGATCAGGTATGTCTTCAAGAAGGGGCACTGGAGCTGGGGGTTTGAAGGGTGAACAGAAGCTCACCAAACAGAGCTGGCAGGGCCTGCAAATGGAGCAGAAGGGCTATGGCCAGAATTCAAGAAATATGGGGATGGAGTAGCAGGAGAAAGATGGGTCGGAGACGTAGGGCAAGTCAACGTGAGAACTCTCCAGATCCAAGCTCAGCAGCCTGCGATTCAAGGCCAAGGAACCCCAGAACTGTCCCCCTGGGTCCCACCGAGCCCCCTTAGGCCTGCTCCAGCTACTGTCATCTCTCCTTCTTGGGTCCCAGCTACCATCCAGTTTGGCCCAGGACACTTTCTACAATGCGACTCAGGGACCTCAGGTCAGGCCTGTGACTCAGTCTTCCCATCTGAAAAATGGAGACACCAAAAGCCGTTTTTGCTGTTTATGTTCATCTCAGGACTGGGAGGACTTCAAGAAATAAATGTGAAGGAAGAGAAAACAGGAAAAAGGGAAGAAAGGGAGGGACGGAAGGAAGGAGAGGGAAGGGAAGAAGGGAAGGAAGGAAGAAAAGAAAGGAAGGGAAGTAAAGGGAAAAGAAGGAAGACAGAAGGGAAAGGCTTTGTATCCTGCTTCCAGGCCAATGCCAAGGGACAGGTCCAACATTATTATTTCAGAAGAAGCCAGAGCTGTCGAGGCTTAAGAAATGAGTGGCGATTTGCATGTGATTTGCATTAAATTTGCATAGTGTTTATTAAATGTGGAAACTCGCTGAAAATGCTTTCTCTCACACTGATCCCCAATGAAGAAGCAGGACACCCTCACTCATCCTCCACCAGGGACCCCCCCAGCTTGGGCTGGGGACTTCTCAGTTCCAGGGCTGCTGGAGCAGCAGCCCTGAGAGAGGTGCCCTTGGACACTCCATCTGTAAAATGGGCCGCGATTAGGCCACCACTTCCGCTAGGTAGCATGGTTGGCGACCTAGAGTGAACTGAGGCCCCACAAGAATGTGGCACAGGCCCTGGCAGGTAGTAGGGGCTGAGGAACAAACCTGAGGAGCTTATTAAGAGCCCCACTTTTCAACCCTGGCTGGTGTAGCTCAATGGATTGAGCACGGGCTGCAAACCAGAGGGTCATCAGTTCAATTCCCAGTCAGGGCACATGCCTGGGTTGCAGACCAGGTTCCCAGGGGGGGGCATGTGAGAGGCAACCACACATTTCTATTTCTCTCCCTCTCTTTCTCCTTCCCTTCTCCTTCCCTAAAACTAAATAAAAATTTTTAAAAAAAGAATCCCACTTTTCTGCTAAGGCCTGGAAGAATGGGCCCCCGGGTGCACATATGTGGGTGACCTGGTGACAGGAGCTCAGACCTGGCAGGAGCAGGGGTCTAGGCTGCCTCTCTCGTTGCGTGGGCAGGGGATGCACACCTCAGGCCTCAGTGTGCACCCCCTCTCCCCGTCTCTTCTCCCCACCCCCTCTTGGCTGTCTGAGCTCACTATCCCCACAGCCATGAATTTTTATCTACCTGTCTCTTCTCTGGGCCTTGCAGCCAACAGAACTCTTAATTAAAACATTATTTCTTCCCGGCTCCCATGCCTCTTCCCTGCGCCACACCAGCACCTGGAGAGTGAACACCTTCCCCAGGCCTTGCAAAGGGCGCTGCGCCCTCTCCCCACCAGCCTCCCTGGGTCTGTGCAAAGGACCCAAGGCCACGAGGCCACAGGCCACGAGGCCATGTGACTGAGGGTGAGAGATCCAACAGAGGCTCAGCTTGTTGGCAGGGGGAAGTGTCTTGTCCCCAGAATTCCCACAATACACTGCCTGGCTAGCCCCCAAGATTACCACCCAGGACACAGGAAGCCCAGGGGCTGAAAGGCAGGGGGAGCGGCCGCAGCCATGATGGACTGACCCGAGTCGCCAATGGTACGGAGTCTGGGGGCTGCAGGCTTATCTGTGGCATTGGGACCAGACAAAAATGTGTTTTATTGTCACAATAAAAACAAAGTGGGGTGGGAAAGAAAACATTACCACCCACGCCTCAGCACTCTGCCAGGTACAGGGGCCCCCAGATGGCTGCCTACTGGACCAGAACACTTCAGACCCAATCGGGAGAGCCCGTGCAGGGGACAGGGTGGCAAGGCATTATGAGGAGGCCACCTCCAAGGGTGTGGACACAGACTGCAACATGTGGAGGTGTTTGGGGGTGAGGGTGGGGGACACAGGGCGACGCTGGAAACTGGGAGAGGGCGAGGGTCCCCCAGTCTCCACCTTTAGTCATTGAGATTTCCTGAGTGACTGGTCGTACCCCACAGTCAAGGCCGTTCACAGTAGAAGGGATTTGTGGGGGTCCAAAAAAGGACAAGGTGCTCAGTGGCTGGGCAGGAGGGCATCCGAGAAGACTTCCTGGAGGAGGCTGGAATCCCAGGTGGGTTGGAGCCACAGAGAGGAGTGTGAAAGGTGCTTTAGGCAGGGGGCACAGCTCGGGCAAAGGTGTGGCCGAGAGAATGGGCACAGCAGGGGAGGCGCTGCCCTGAGCTCCTCTCTTGTCTCTGTGCGCCTCTTCGTAGGATATCCCCTGGCTGTGCGCGGGAGCCTGCCGAGGTGGTGCAGTGGTTCCCGCTGCAGACTGGGTACTCGGAGTCCCCGGGGGAGCCATGGCCTCAGGTCACACAGCAGGTGACAGGCTAGGGAGACAACGTCCTAGTTCAGTGTCAGGGAGCGGGGCTCCATCAGGAGTGTCCCAGGCCGTGGGCATCAGCTGGTCAGGCCAGTGTTTCACAGTCCACCCAGAACCTGGAGCAGCAGGAAGGGGCAAGACTATCTCAGTTCAGGCCTCTAGGAGGGCGAGATACCAGCTCTCTGGCTGGGTTTCCTTCTTCCCTGTTCCCTAATGTCCCCTCCCGATGTGGACAGGACACCTGCAGTCACCTCCTCCTTCCCCACGGGCCTGGCGCTCGCCCACAGAGATGAGGGTGGCCCTTTAGCTACAGGTAGCCAGCCATTCTTAGAGGGGGCTTGGCTATTTGAAGCCACCTGGTAGAAGTCGCAGGACTTCAGTCAGAGTACAATTGTAAGGAGTGGGTAACAGAGCCCAGAGGGGCAGAGAGATCCACCTAAGGTTACACAGCAAGTCAGGGAACATCATTCATGTTACTCAGGAGCAACACACATTAGTCTACAGATAAGTGAGAAGGCAAGGGTATTGTCCTTGCCCGAGGGTGAAAGGCACAGGGAATTGGAGTGTGGGGGGTGACACTCGACAGACGTGAGTCCCTTCTTCTCTCTGGGCCTCATTTTCTCCCACCTGTGGTGCCCACAATCCGGAAGGTCCCCGGGATGACTTACCTCCCAAAGGCTTTCCCGCCCCAGCCTGCTCCTTTAGCGGGCATCTTCAGTCCCCTCAGTCATGGCTCCACCTCCTCCAGCCCAGACTACCTGCAGGAGGGGGACAGAGTGCTACCAACTGCAGGCCAAACACAGCCCTCGCCTCAGCACTCAAAGCCTCTCCTATCTGCTCAGTGTCCAGCCGATGCATCTTCCCACATCTGCCAGGTCTTGCCTTCAGGTTCGAGATCTTTCCCTGTGCTTCCAGGAAGCACTAAGCCCCAGGAAAACGTTCTGGGCAGCCCCTTTCTCACCGCCACACAGTACATTCCATAAATATTTACTGAACACCTACTATGTCCTGGGAACTGAACTGGGAACACAGCAGCGTATAGAGAATGAGCAACAACGCCCTCAAAAAGTCTGCAGTCAGGTGGGGAAGATGGGGTGAAAAGTCAGAAAGACAGGGAAGTCGGGGGCTGCCGAGTGCCAGGGAGAAAGATAACAACAGGGGTAGGGTGAGAAGTGATCGTTTCCGGGGGATCAGGGAAGACGGCACCGGCACCAAGGTGGCATCTGAACAAAGGCCTGATGGCGCTGAGGGAGGGAGGGAGGGAGGAATGTGGAAAGCATTCCAGCCTGACAGCAACCTCGTGTTTGGTTGCATGCCTCTCTCCCCACTGAACAGGCCGTGGGCTCCATGAGGTCAGGTCTGGTCCGAGTCTCCACGGGGTCCCACTACCTGGCACATGCCCTGGCACACAGTAGGCACGCAATAAACACTGATTGCATACTGTACAATAATTATGTGCGTGGACATCTGTGGGTTGTCCAGCTGCCAGACGTTGCAGGAGAGGATGCGCTGCCAACAGCGCCCGCTCCCAGCCCCAAGCCGCCAGCCCCTGTGGGTCACCACCCCCCACCATGTCCCCCTGCCCCCGAGATCTTCCCTCTGAGAGCCTGGGGAGACAGGCTCTCCCCCCACCCACCTTGCCTCTTTCAGGAACAGCATCTGAAGCTCCTACCCTCAAAACATCACCGCAGGTGTGGCAGACCAAGCCTCGGTGGTCCGGCAAACACAGCCCCTCATAAACACCAGGGCTACACGTGGTTCCGGTGCGTCGCTGCCCAACACCCCCGAGGAGGCAGCCAGAGTTCTGGGATCAGCCCTGGCCCAGCTCCCCCACCTCGCAGCCCCAGTCGCCAAGCACCAGCCTCTGCCACCTCCCAGCGCTTCCCCAGGCCTCAGTGTGTGCTCCACCCACGGCCCCTCGTGGGTCACCTTGGCCAGGACTCCAGATGGTCAGGTCAGAGTGTGGGCAGCAAGTGTCAGGATGGGACTGTGGAGTGGGCAGATGTGCCAGGAGAGATGGATGAAGAGAGAAGGACCAGAGACTCAGAAGGACAGAGACACAGAGCAAAACAGAGACAGAAATGCACACAGAGACGCAGAGAGAGAGACACAGAGGGAAAACAGCAGAGACAGAAATGGACAGAGCCACAGAGAGACAGAAAGAGTGATAGGAAGTGAAATAAATAGGACAGCACCACTGAGAGAGGGAGAGGGGAGACAAAGAGGTCTAGAGAAAGGCAGGGGCGGCCAGAGAAAAGCACACGGGAGAAAAGAAGGAAGCAGGCAGGGGGTAGCCAGCCCCTCTCCCGGTCTCTCTCAGTGCCTGCCTCCTTCCATCCCTCTCCCCCCCGCTGGTACACACAACAGCAGTGCTCAGGCCCTGGGAGGAGGGGGCAAGAAGGACCCGTGGTCCAGTCTGCCGCCCACATCCCACCCACCCGAGCCACAGTCAACCCCTTTGTGCCCGGCCACCCGCCCCCTCCCCCAGCCCCAACTCACTCCTACGCATCACCCCAGCAGGCCCTCCCCTTCCCTGCCATCCTCTCCTAGCCCTTACCCACTCTCCACCCAGGTCGGCGGCCAGGACCTCCTACTCCCTGCCAGCCCGTCCTCCCAGGACCCTGGCCCAATGCCCGTCCCTGGCCACCTGGGGTCACTGACGAGCAGCAGCACGGAGCCGTCCTGTAGACACACGTCGCGCACCGTCTGGTGGTCGTCCAGTCGCCGCGCGTTGTAGTAGAAGGTACGCTTCCAAGAGCTCACACCCTGGCCCACCAGCTGGGCGCGCAAGTCGCTGAGCGTGTCGCGCGGCCGTACCGTGAGCGGCAGCAGTAGCGCCTCGTCCGCCAGATGCACCTTGATGTGGTAGCGCTTCCAGCGCGACAGGCCCCGCCGCAGCCCCTCCATGGCGCCGGCCGGGAGCTCCACACCCGGCCGGCCACTAGTGCCCTGAGCACCCGCCCGACAGGCCCAGCCGCCCGCCCCCGTCGCGCCTCGCCCTGCCACGCCCAGTGTGCTTGAGGGAGGCCCAGTGAGGGCGGGGCTCGCAGGGAGGGCAGACTGAGGGCCCCTCGCCCCCACCTGCAGACACCCCTCCGTTTATACACAGATGTTAAAAGTGCCTACTGGAAGTGCCATAGATAGCTGGGAACAAAACCTACGAAAAGGAGACACATGGTGAAGATAATACTTGAATACCAAGGCATCCTATCATGGGAAGTGCTAGGGAGAGAAAAAGGAGGAAAGAGAGATTGGTGGTTCTCTTGGACAGAGATCAAGGTCAAGACAGATCTCTCTGAGGAGGTGGCATTTGAATTGAGTTCTGAAGGTGAGAAGCAGTGAGCCAACCGAGCAAAGGGTCGTGGATCAAGAGTACCGCACATGGGGCAGGAACAGCCAGTGCACAGGCCCTGGGGCAGGATCGTGCTTGGTGGCTGGGGCAACAGCGAGGAGGCCCTGGTGCAGGAGCAGAGTGAGCAAGGGGGAGAGAGGGAGGAAGTGGGGTCAGGACGGTGAAGAGGGACAGGTCATACAGGGCTGTGTGGGCCTCAGGGAGCACTTGGGCTTTTTACCCGGAGGGAGGTGGGGGCCCTGGAGGGCTGTGGGCAGAGGGAGGTAAGTGACTGAGGTTTATATTCGTCACTCACTCCTTTACTACCTTATTTCCTTCAAGACACATTCAACAAGCATCTACTCTGTGTTGCCTGGGCCGGGCTGGGCAATGCTGGGCGCCAGAGAAATCACAACCTAAGACCCTGCCATCAAGGGTCTCCCAGTTGAGGTTGGGGCACACAGAGCTGGACACAGACACTCCCAGACTGTGGGATTAGGGCTGGAGTGGGAATGGAGACCCCAGGCTGGAAAAGGTCAGCATGTGGGGATGGCTTCCCGGATGGGTAGGCATTGGAGCTAGGGCTTTGGCAGATGAATAGGAGTTCAACACTCCCACCAAGAAGACACCTGCCTACAGTCACCAACTGTGTAGTTCAGTGGGTGCCTAGTGGGGAAGAGTAGGAGTTAGGGCTTATGGTCAGTGGCAGGCTTGTGAACAGGGGCTCAGCCACTCCCAGTTGCATGCCTCCCCCGTGCTTGCAAACCCTTTCTCAGTACCCTCTCATCTCTCCAGTCACACTTACGCAAGCACCCTATTCCCGAAAGCCTTCCCTGATTGCCACCTGCCCCTGCCCACAGCCGCCAGGACAGGACTGACCAGTTCTGGGTAGCCAGGTTCCTGGCTTGACCTCAATGATTCAGCCTATACTTAGATGCCAGTTCAGATGGAGCCCACATCAGGGCAGTGGACAGGGTGTGGGCTCTAACCCTGACCTTGATCCTTGGAAGTTTCTCAGGAAGAAACTCAGCAACCCTGGGCCTCCGTGTGTCGCACATCCAGTGGGGTGCTTATGAGGTGGAATGACTGAGGGCAGAGCACCGGGAAGTGCTCCTGAAGCACAGCCACCTACTGATCAGCTAGGCTCAGAGGGTCTTCAGAAAAAAGTGCAATTTGACTCTTAAAGAGAGCATTTTTTAAATAAAATAATTAGTAAGTATGAAAAGCACCTGCTAAGTGACAGGTGGTCTAGGTGCTTGACTGAAAAAACAGAACATGTCCTTTAACTCTCACGTGACGCTATTGTCTCCCATTTTACAGATGAGCAAACTGAGGCAGAGAGAAAATAAATGGCTTCCCTGCCAATCCACAGTGAGAAGTGGCAGGGCCAGGATTTGAACCCCAGCCACCTGGCTTCAGCACTCCTGCTGTTGTCCACTGACTCTGCAGCTTCTTACACAATCAGATTTCAGGTGGAGATTTTGAAGGTGGCTAAAAGCAAGTTACAGATGGATTTCCCCTCCCAAAATAAAAGGGAGAGGGACAGAAACTATAAACTACTGCAAGAAAACACGGGAGTAAAAAATAATAACCCTAGTTCCTTAAAGCCTGACATGAAACCCTGAAGCCTTTAATTAAAAGATTAATGACTGACTATGTGCAAATAGAAAATCCTCGCACACACACACAAACACTAAACGGTCAACAGACAGAGTCAGGGAAACTTTCCCAAGACTGATCGACAAGAGGCTGATTTCCTTTATATGTAAAAACCTTCCAAAAGTCGATAAGGACCAACAGGCCAATAAAAAAAGAGGCAAAAGACAAAATACAAGTGTCTTCTAAACACATGAGAAGAAGCTCCTTTCCACTCATGGTCAGCTAGATAGAAAATAAAACTACCATGAAATGCCTCTTTAAAACTAAATCTGTCAGGTAGCTGAAGGTGAAAAAGTTGGGTAATTTGCTATGTGGCTGGGGTGTTAGGAAAACAGCCATCTCACACCTTGGGGTTTGGAGTGTGAAACGGCATAATCTGAAAATAGCTATTGGCATGGTAAACTAGCTCTGTCCCCTGGGAACCTACCCGTGGGCCCAAGGACAGATTATAGCACAATGCATGTACTGAGCAATTTACTTGTAACCCACAGTGGACCGGGAGGCAAGCTCATTGAACGAAGGGGGAAAACTGAGGCCCACAGGCGGAAGCAGTAGGATAAGGGTGTGCACTCTCTCCAGGGAAGGTGAGCGGGCTGGCTCCACCTGCACCACCGGGTCACCATGGCCCCAGCCAGCGACCTCCCTTGTCGGGCTAAGCTCCAGGCCTCACGTGTCACACCTGTTGGTGTCTAGGACAGATCAGAGCAAGGCCCAGGGACACTTGGCTTTGACATATGGAGGCTAAGCCGGCCACACTGAGCCCTGTGAGTGCTGGGTGCCAGTTCCAATTAATTCTGACTTTCTCATTAAGCTGTTAGGAAGAGCCAGGTGGCTGTGGGCAGCAGGCCCTCTGACTGGGCTGCTGGATTGAAGAAATCGTGATTTCCGCCCGGAGACACTATTATCTGTCATGGCAATTATGGAAGAGCCAGGCGGACAGGGACAAGCTGGAGAGTCCCTGAGCTCTGGAACCTGGGAGGCTCGGAACTGTGGGGTCACTGACTCCCAGCACCTCGGAAGGCCTGGCGTTCTAGACCCTCAGAATATTCACCTCTTCTCATGAACATTCTAGAATCGAGAGATCGCTAGTATGAGGGTCAGGGTTCTGAGTGGCAATCAAAACACATCACTTCTGGCTGTCTTAGGAGCAAAGGGACGTTGGGGAATGCTCTGAGGGAGGTCATAGAATCCGTGGGAAGTGAGGAGAACAGGTTTTAAAAGGGCGCCAGAGAGCATGGGCCCTCTGAGGCAGAAGGGATACTACAGGCAGATAGGAAGGGAGGGCAGGTGCTCTGTCAGTTTGCCCCTACACGTCCTGTTTGCCCTGACACAGCCACTGAACTTGATTTGGACTTGGCCAAATTCTGGAATCACAGGTGCCTAGGCTCGTGACGTCAAGGAGATTTCTAATGACTTGTTCCCTTGGGCCAGAGGTCTCTCAAACTGCAAGCCCAGAGGCCCACATAGTGGTTTTGTTTTGTTTTTTAAAGAATTGGTAAGTGAGTTCACATATAAGAAGTTAGAGCTCCACTGGGCTCCCAGGCCACGCGGTAACTGCTATGGATGGCATGTGAGTCCCCTACTGTCCCTACCAGGCCCGATGCTCTCCCTGAGCACCGAAGGGATTGCCCTCCCCAGACCAGTAACAGCACATACTTTGTGTTCTCATTTTGATGCACAAAGTGGGTCCATAGGCAGTGGTTTGCCGAGGTCCACCCAAGGAGAGGCTGAAAAGGTTTTGGAAAAAGCACAAGACGTTCCTCCATGCTTTCCAATCAGTTACCCCACTGTCACCAAGCCTATGAGGTCTGTACTTTTGTCCTCCCATTTCTCAGAAGAGAAAACAGAAGTGTCCCCAAAGCCACACAGGAAGGTGGAACGCAGCCCCTGGAACATGGCAGGAATGAGTTAGCGGGAGTGCTGGGGTGCTGCTGCCTGGTTTGGTACCAAAAGGAGAATGTGGTGCGGAGAGGGTGGCTTTGAGAGGGACATGGGGGAGTTTGGATTCTCTTCTAAGGGGAGGGTTTGAAACAAGGGAGCGGCATGATCTAAGTTACATGTTAGAAAGGTCCTTGACAGCGTGCGGTCTATTTTAGAAGATGGATACAATAATCCTCAGCTAAGAAAGGCCTTGTCTTGGGTCACAGCACTTTCTTCATAGCTACTACTTCTTGGGTCTATGTGTCCCACCCCAGGGAAACTTCATAAGGAATTTATTGCTAGGATACCTGGCTAATGAGGGCTCATGGTGGTGCCTTTTGGTAAATGATGTTATTCCACTCTAGCTCTATTAGAAACAGGCTATTTGCTAGCAACATGTTCAAAAGTGTCATCTTCATATACAAAGAGTTGTGAGAAATCAATAAGAACAGAGAGAAACATGCAAAGAAAATGGATGCCACTTTGAACACATAGAAGACATAGGTGGGAAATCATAAAATAAAGACTCACATGGGACAGTGTTAGCCCCCTAGGATTCTCCCCACTGTAATATTCAAGTGATCCGGTAACATTGATATTAAATTCTGTAAGGGTGCAAGGCAATGGCACTCACCTCTGTTGCTGGAATAAGTACCATCTTTCTGGAAGGTAGAACAGCAAATTGTATTGGAAGCCTCTGATGGATAATAACTAACTATAATGACTCACCTTTGTCAAATGACAAATCCATTTCATTTATTATGTTTTTTTCCCACTAGAGCACAAGCCCCCCAAGGCAGGGATTTTGTGTTTTGTTCACTGCTGAATCCCCGATGCCTGGAACGGCATGTAGCTCTAATGTGTACACCCAGCATGACCCCATCTGCTCATTCTGCTGTACACTGCCTTTGAGGACCACGGAGCTAGACCAAGAGGGTGGTTTTGTGCAGACATCTGAGCATCCGCCTCATTAGGTCTTTAAGGCAACCCTCATAATCTGAGCAGTGAGTGGAAAGTTCTCTGGGGCTCCTGCTGATCCATGGGTTAATTGATGTGCCT